ACAAGTCGCTGAGATCGTCAACAACATGTCCGCTGACCTCGTGATTGACTTCACAGTGATCGTCGATGGCGATATCTACCCCGTAGAGATTGCAAGGACCGACGAGACACAGGCCGCTGACAACGTCACGGACGATCCAGGGGTCTCTGTTGCTCCACCAATACCTGCACAGGATGTAGATGTGGATGCACAACCCGAAGAAGAACAAGGTGCAGAAGACCCTGATCCCAGGCAGATGATTCGTGAAGGATTTGTCGCGCAGCTTCAGGACTATGTGGGAATACTTGCTCAGGGCGAAATGTCGGTCGGAAGCAATGGCCTCACGTTCTGTATCGCTTGTGGCAGTGATCAACACCATCTGTCCAATTGCACGGAAAGTGCTGCGACCCGGGATCTGATACTTCGAAGCATCCAGATCATCAAGGAAAACCTTCTTCGATATCCACGTCGAATACCTCCACAACAAGCCGAGCCAATGGACGTTGACACCACAGACCATGTGAGTGTTGCATCCTCGGACCGACGACCCAAGGCCAAAGCCCGACCGCGACGCGGAGGCGAAGCCGTACGGGGTGATGTGGTTTTGATCCGTTACGAGAACAAACACAATCTCTGCACGGATGTGGAGAACCGTCGGGGCTTACATGATGCTTGTGGTGTGCCGCTGCAGGACATGGGACCAGAGAACAGTCAGCGGGTGGTGGACCTCATTGAGCAGCTTTCGGACCATCGCGACCGACGCCTACCTCAACGAGGAGACCGTCCTAGCTTTGAATATGATGATACTATTCAGGGCTACACCAATGCAGGCTACGAATCCATCGGCGGCGGAAGGCCAATCCGATGCGGGATTCTCGACCTGATCCCAACCAAGGGTGCAAGCTTCATCCACAATCGATGGGACCTCGTGAACGAAGTTGTCCTTCGCAACATCACCCATCATCGAAGAAGGAACGCGGATTGGGCGCTATCATGCATTCAATCTGACCTGCGTCACAGAATCGCCAGGCGCCCAGGCTCGGAATGGCTTGACAACAGGTGCCAAGTGGCATTCAGCAGCGTCATTCGATGTGATGAAGGAGGGTGGGTGCTGATCGATGATTTGGTGAGGCATGAGCAACTATGGACCCATGACAGCAGACGCATCACCGAAGCGGTCTCAAGGACCGATGATCAACAGAGGAAGAGAGTGTACAATGAAAGACTCCAGCTATTGTTCCAAGGGAACATGCTCGCAGCCACGAGACGCCACAAGGCCAAGATTCGGCTGCAGTTCCTGGGAGTGAGAGTGAAGGACCCCGGCACGGAGACTCTTGGATCCGCAGGCTCGAACATGTTGGTATCGATTCCTGACCAGATCACAGAGATCCAGAACAATGATCGTTGCCGGCACAGCCAGAGGTACCTGAACGTTTGCAACGGCTGGGTGAAACCATGGGCAGTTCGGGCTACGAGTGGTCACTCTGCGCACTCCGATCCCCAGAACAATTTGCTTCAGTTGGACAAGAACAGGTTCGCAATATCTCCATCTATGACCCTCTTGCAACGTCTTGGAGGCGCGTTCCACGCTACGGCATGCCGCAACCTGGATTCCATTGTCACGCAAGGCATCATGCCTGGTTCGGAGGACCCCGACGGGGACTTCGACCATAGGCGCCAATTTCGAGGCAACCAAGGCGGCAGACTCCACAGCTATTGGGGGGTATTCGCACCGTTCGATCACCGGAATGCGACGACCAAGATGCGGGTACATGGACCACAAGCCAAGCACATGCCGCTGGCGGTCCTCCATGTCCCTTCGCAGGACCTTGCACGAGAAGATGGACGTATCACAGACAGCGGCATCATCATCGTTGGCCGAACGATACCGTTCCAGTTCGTCAAGGAGGTATGGTTTTGCGTCCCGAATCCTCAAGATACACACTCTTTCGCTCTGGTGGAAAAGATCTACGATGAACGATTGGAGAAAGAGATGGTGTTGGACTACTATGCATCACCTTTGCTCCCTGAATTCGAGAGATACCGAACACCAAGCAAGATCATGGAATTGCTTTGCGAGATGCCCCCTGGACCCCACGACACCAGCAAGGAGCAGATCATGCGAGACCTTACGACTGTCCTGGAGTCCCACAGGGAGAACACGGTTCGGCATCACTACATGGACAAAGGCATCAAGTTTGTCATCAAGAATTGGCGACCCGAAGACCTACGCAGAGACGAAGATGGAAGGAGAATGAGGGTGTGCCCGGCATGCTACAACATCGTTCCAGCATGCTTCTCCCGATGCACGTCCTGCTGGTCACAATTCGTTTCTTGCGGATACTACCAAGGTACTCCACAACGGGAGACTCCTACGGAGATCCCCAGTGACTTCATTGCTCAGACAATGGAAGCTGCGGCAGCAGCAGTGCCTGAGGCGACCGTCGAGGAGCAGGAAGCCATGGAGACAGAGACCGTTGCGGAACCTGAGGAAATCCCAGAGCCATCTGTCGTCGCGGAGGACGATCCAGAACAGGAACCTGATGAAGAAATGGACACAGAGCCAGGAGAGGACTTTGATGACGCAGTACCAGATGCAGTTGCACAGGAACGACGTCCCGTCCTCATCGCCGGCCAGTCTTTGAACATCGATCCTGAACTACAACTCGCACGTACCGCCATGCAGCCATCCTACTACCCAGGAAAGCGAAATGCCCATTGCATTGACGCCAACATGGCCGCTCTTTCGTATATGGCATTCGTGGTGTGCAGAACCATCTACAAGGCTTGGTCAGGATTCGCGAAGTGGGCGACTATGCCGTTGTTCCAGATGAGGGAGGAGAATTTCGCACTTGGCCAACGCTATGATGTGCTCGGAAAGTGGGGATCTTTGGCTGGAGTGGACAGAGAAACGGGTGTGGGCAGGGATGTGACTGACGAGGAGATCATTCGCTTTGCCAAGGAGCCTGAGAACCTCAAGCAGTACGATCCCAACGGGACTTACACTTTGAAGCGCTTCCGGACGAATCAGATGCTTTCGTTGCTTACACGGGGAGCCAACATGATGGGAATTGGCAGGGACAACTTCAACCCTACTACGTACTTGAAGAGCAACAGGGATGAAGATGTGAAGGCTATGCACTTCTGTTGCCTGAACGTCCTGTGCGAGGTGATTCCGATGGTGACAGGACACCAACAATTCTCAGTGCTACGACCAACGCCAACTGGACCGGTGGACTTCCTGTACATCGACCCCGTCGGTATCCTGCTGACTCATGCCGATCATTCAGTCCAGACCATTGGATTGCTGGTGGACCACAATGTGCAAATGCCTGCGCATTTCATGGACAGATTGGTCAGATCCAAGGCTGAGAGACAGCAAAATCCGACAACCAAACGTACTGAAGCCCTACATCACATCTCGGCCGCTGAGTATCTCCCTCCAGGTGGTACTTCCATCATGGACACGCCTGTCACTACGGAGGAACGTGCAAGCGCTTCTTCGGCCAAGGGACCTTCAAAAGGGCGTGAGAGAACTGGAAATGAGCAGCATGGAGGCTGGAACACCAACACCTACCATGACTACATTGCCAGTAAGGGCCGAAACAAAGGCAAGGACAAAGGAAAGCAAAGGGACCCGTATCCAGAGGAGAACCTCCGGCCATGGGACCGCGATCCTACGTCAACGCGAAGATGGTGGCGAGACAATACTTGAACCACATCATCTTTCAGTACGTGACCTCTGAGCTTCGCCCGTGGAATGCCATCGCGAATGCTTCTTTCTTCGGTGACGCCTGATTCGTTTGCCATTTCAGGGGATCGTTACTGACGTAGATGAGTGTCACAACGTTTCTAATTGGGATGCAAAGCTCTGATTTTCAATGTCAACGTTGCGGCGGAACATTTTCTGTTGTCCTATCGTGCCATCTTCCGGGTGAGCAGCGTCGGAGACGCAACTCATGGGGGGTGCGAACGGACTGCGATGCCTTGTCAAGTTCTAAGGTGTCACTATAAGAGCTGTGAGCAAGACCGTGTAGAGTGCAAGAGAAGGGGGCACGCTACGCGTCCCTCGACTCTAGGAGTGAGCTTGTGGACGTGCTACGCACACCGCATCGCTTCTCCTTACCTTTCTATGTGACCGCCCACGCAACGTTTGGCTCAAGTCAATGCCCATAGCTAAGTGCTATATGTGTCTTCTATCCTGAGCAATCAGAGCTATCCCGTGCACAGACGAACCGCCGCCGGCAGCGAGTGCAAAAGGAACGGCCGCCGGTTCTGCCTGCATAGGATTGCACGTGTGGAAGTGTGAGAGAGACAGGGTCCCAGTCTGTGGAGAGTGCAAGCCAGCCACACCTATATTCATTACAGCTCTGGTGGGGAGAGCAGCAACATAATCGAGATCAAATCCCCACGCACCAAATATCACAATCCGAATAAACTGTGCGTGGCAGTGTCAGCTGCAACGCAAGCAGAATGGTGCACACTTCCGCACGGGTGGGGAAATGCGCAGGTGCGTCCTGGTGATGAGCCCCTCATATTCTGAACCATGGTAAAGAGCTTCGTTGGGCAGGTTTTCCCTCCCTTTCTAGCTTTTGTCATGCCAAAGTTTTGGTTTGAAAATGAGGTCTTCCCCGCATGTTCAGCGGTGACCTCGCGTACACAAAACCCACACCGCACCCACGCCACGGACAGAGACCCACACAAACAGAGAGCACACGTCTGTCCGTCGTGCTTCATCTTTTGGACTCACAAACTGACCGGCGTTGGCCTTCGCGGATGGTTCCCCACTGTGATGAAAAGGACTATTGAAAAAATGTTCGTGTAGATATACTCGTTGCATCCCTGATCTTGGTGTAAGACCTACGAGTAAGCAATAGACGAGAATTTGAGTTTCTAGTCCATTCTGGTACCTCCTGCCTCTCGAATTTCGACAGTCAAGTCCAAGAAGGTAGATTTTTTTCGGGAGGACTTGCAGGAAGAAAGGCCTTGCGACGTGCCAGGCAGGTAATCATGCCGAGGTCATGGCAGGTGTCCGAGAGGCGGGAGTACTGCGAGACAGAATCAGAGCCACCGCTTCAGTCGGCATTTTGATCGGCAGGCTGACCAGCAAGGTGTTGTGCTGGCCCAAAACGTGCGGGACATGATCAGCCAGTGGCTATCAGCTCGCCCGGCCTGTTGTGGGCGTTTGGTCCAGCTCTGCAGTGATCCAAGCCAGTCACAGCGGTTCCATGGAAGGTGAATGCTCCAAAAAACGAGTCCGTGCCTCTTGATGTCACACGGTGCTTGTGTCGCAACGTGTCGCGTCTTGATTCTACACTTTGCAATGGCGTTGCCGTAAGTCCCCCGACTGAATCTTGGCAACACCTCAACCTTATCGCTGACCCCTCGTGCCGCCTGTGACCGGTATTGCACGGCCTCCTCGCATGTGCTGTCAAACGGAGAAGCCGTCGCCTCCTCGTCCCTCCCCAAAGGATGGCTTCTCGTGAATGTAGAAGGATCGGTTGCTGGAGAAGCATGGATCACTCGAGCTGCCTTTGACATCGTGGGATCTCTCTTTGCTTGCTTGTGTGCTTGCTTGTTTTCGTTTTGCTTGGTTTCTTTGTTTGTTTGTGTGCGTGGGTGTGCATGCGTTCTCGGTTGTGTGTGTGTGTGCACGCATGTGTGCAGATGCATGCGCTCGATCTCTCTCTCTCTCTCTCTCTATCTCTCCCTCCCTTTCTCTGTCCGACTCTCCCTCCCACCCTCTTTCTCGCTCGCTCAGTGTCTCGAGAGAGAGTCCGAGAGTCTCCACCCTATACCTTCACAGTGTGACCGTGACAACTCAGGCCTGAGCACCCATCTCCACCTGCTCCACCTGCCTCTGTTCCAGAGCCAGCACCTCCTCCAGGAGCCATATGTGACAAGGTTTCGTCTTCGACCAAAAGAGCCTAATTGCGTCGCGCAGCACAGCTCACTGCGGGCGAAGTGTTGTGCAATTGCTGTGACGAACCATCGGTTGGGTCGTCTGCAGGACCGCAGAGCAAACCGAAGGAACCTGCGGCTCCGGCAACTACTGCCGAGCAGCTTCGCAGTGCCCTGTTGAGGCACTGCTTAGGTTCTGTCGCCTCATGACTCGTAGCTGTTCCCGTTGGAAGTCGTAGCCGCTAGCATGGCTGGAGCACTGTCAGAGATGCTGCTCTCTGTTCTTCTGTGGCGCAGGTTTTTCGAGCTCGCTCCGAAGGGCAGCGATGGAGCTGCTGGGCTGGGGCCAGGTTCTCGACGCTCGGGGTCAGCTTCTGCTTGTTTCCTCGCCAGAGAAACACCACAAGGATTATAGAAGGAGATGACGGCCGCAGGCTGCTTCAATCTGCTTGGTCTGCACCTTCGTTTCAAAGGCCGTTTGCTGAGAGGTATCTGCCATTGCCAATGCTGGGCCGGGCAGTCGGCATCACTGGGGAGGACTTTGAGGTTGCCATGAAAGCATGGAACGTAGTCAATGAGGCCTGGTCATGCGCTCATGCCCAAAATCAAAAACATACCTCGCCCTGCCTCAGACACCGCCGGGCACCTTCATGATGACGGAGGATGCAAGAGCAGTTGGTGGAATCCTCGGCTGGAGATTGCATAGACTACGCGGTGCTCGGTTGCATCCCTCGAGGATTGGTTGAGTGGGCAGGATGGGAGGACCTTTTCCTCTTGAGCCGTGTCATATCGAGTCACCGAGAGATCAAGATGAGTCCGAGCCAGGAGAAAGTACGGGTAGGCCGTAGGCTGCGGGAACTTCGCCAGAATGGGTCCTCTGTCGGCGCTTCTCATGCGAGCTCGACCAAGTGGAGCGCTCATCAGAGCACTCCAAAGTATACCTAAGTATGCTACTCAACTACTCCATACTCCACCTGCTATCTGGTCTTTGCTGTCCCAGCCATGTCCAGATACATAGTGGAAACACGAAGTTGGCCGGCGGGGGCCTCTTGATATAAATTACCAGTAGCGTTAGCGTGGCTCACGCTTTGTTCACAGGGCATGTTTTTCTCCTCGATAGGTGGGTGAGGCATCGCACTTGCTCCCGGCTCTTGTTTCAGACTGCTTTGTAAAGCAATCCATGGATCGCTGGACGGTCTTCACGTGCTCCTTGCGAAGGAATTTGCAAGCTCCCTGGATGTCATCGTGAAAGGGACTCGGGATCCGGCTTTCGAGCCGCGGCCGGCAACTCTTGCGCCAGAAGTGTCAGAGCATGTCAGACTTACTGCGTGATCTGTCAAGGTCCATTCAGGGGCATGTGGCTCGAGCTGCTCGTGGAGCTGTGCGGTCAGGGCCACTGCGACAACCAGATGTGCTGCGAAGACTTCAGGAGGGGGGTGTCCTATGTTATATACCCTTGAGAGGGCAGGTAAGGCATGAGATTGTGCCTCCAACATGCTTTGAGGAGCTCTCATCCGAGAATCTTCCTGAGGAGAGCGGTGGCGATGAGTGCAGCGACACAGTGAGCACTCAAAGCCATGGAAGGATGCAGCTCCCGCTCTGAGAAGCGCAATTCTTCGAAGAGCTCGACTTGCCCTTGCGTGAGGAGCTGAAGCAACAAAACAGTAGACTCCCGAAATGCTGGAAATCGACGGTGCTTGCATTGGTATCCCGCTGAGGTGCCTGGTCGATGCTATCGCTTCGCAAGGTCTTGGACCTCAGGCCTTTCCCTGGATTTTGATCAAGTTCTGTCCGACGGACGAGACCTCACAGGCAGGCGTGGACTCCATGGGATTAGTGGGACAGCTTCCCAGGCCGAGCTAGGAGTTTCTGTTGCACTCTGTGCACGTTCCTGCTGTCCGACCCTGGTTCAGGACTTTGTTCGGTATCATTTTCGACGTGAGCCACCTCGTTTGAAGTGCAGCAAGTTCATGCTTGTGAAAACCTTCGAAATGACTGTGCTGTCGCTGTCCTGACCAGAACTAGTTAACTGATTGCAGCAGCTGGTGCTTGCATGACAGAACATTGACGATCGAGATCGTGGAGCTTGTGCTTTCTTGGGAGAGGCGCATGAGTTGATGCATGTGTTCGTTCTCGGCATCTCAGTACAAGGTTTGCTCACGAAAGTGTGTTGTGGACTTCGGCTCATGTCACACCATGATGAATTAAATTGCTGTAGCCGGCAAGGCTTAAGCACGTTCCGGTACCGGTACCATGCTTGCAGGCGGTTGGGTCCAGGTCTACAATGTCTACAGTCATGAAAGGCTCAGCTTGTTCCATCACCCAAGCAACGCGCTCAGCCAGGAAGCACACATGAGGGCCTCAGGCGAAAAGTAATTTTAACGCTACGCCGCCCGCCTCGGCTGTGTAGCGGCAGGGCGAGGGGGCAGTCGATGTTTTTTAATGCTAGGGCGGCCTGTCAAACCCCAACCTTTACACGGTTGTTGATACGAGGAGAACGGGTACGAGCGGGTGGGGTGAGGGGGGGGAGGGGGGGGGGGGGGGGGGGAGGGGGGGGGGGGGGGGGGGGGGGGGGGGGGGAGGGGGGGGGGGGGGGGGGGGGGGGGAGGGGGAGGAACCGACAACCGACAAATCAGGTAAAATGAGGCGGGGGAGGGGTGGGAGGGGGGGGGGAGGCCGACAAATCAGGTAAAATGAAGGGAAGCCGGGCAAGGGGGTGGCAAACGAACGCAAAAAACGGGTGTCCCCAAACATTTAAACCGCAAAAAAAGATTAGGTGGAGGGTACCTGAGCTAACCCCCAAGACGCCTGGGCCTGTGGCCTCGGCGGATTTAAGTGCCAGGTGGCCAGGCGGCTTCGGGCCTGAGTCCAAATGGAGCGCACGTCACGTCTCCTTCGTCAAATGAAGCGCTTGGGAACCGCTTTTTCCAAAAGTCCTGGATTTTGAGTGCTGTCGCAAGTACGGCCTGGCCGATTGCCGATGCCCAGCCCAATGCCCCGAGCGGTCATCCAAAGCGCATTTGGATATGCCTGTGGGCCTGTGTTTGGAGATTAGCTCTCAGCAAAACGCAGGCATGGCGTGAAACGTGGCTGGGCGCAGGCTGCTGGTATCCCACCGATGCCCCAACGGATACAGTATCCAAACCCTTACGTTTTGCAACAATTGAAGCCATGCCCCCTTCAGCCGTATATCCGCAAGCTTATGCTCCAATATCGCGTTCTGATGTATTCCGTCGATAACGCCGTTGAGGCTCCAAGGAGGAGCTGCAGGGAAGTTCTGGGGCTTCGGATTTAAGTCGAAATCTTGGGTGCTGGGTATGTAGTTCATTATGTGTGTAATAACGTATCATATTCACATACACGCACGTACACATACGCCTTTTTTGTTGTCTTTATGCACGCCGCCCTCAGGTTTAATAGGTGATGCTGGACGAGATAGCGCCAAACCGGGGTTTTGACTTGACTGCGGCTCCCCTGGTCCTGGCAGATTCTTCAGTCCTGGGATCGTCGGCGGTGCTTCTCAAAGCGCTGGCTGCAGGACTGCTGATAGAAGACTTGCAGCCTGAAAATCCTCGTATCTGACAAATCTGATGAGAGTACTTGACAATGAGACTCACCCGCCTTGCCAGGATGCGGCAGGAAAGTTCTCTATGCCAAAAGGGGCAAACTCCGAGCGGGACGAGAGACGCGGCTGGTGCGACAATCTCCGAAAGCGAAGCACCTTGCGTTCCCATGGTTGCAGACTGTGGTGCTTTTCTCGGACAACGACAGGTACGCGTTGACTTCGGAAAACCTGCACAAAAAGCCTGCCGAAGAGGTCCGAGGGGGGTCTGGAACTTGCTGCCCTGGACTTCAACGGGTCTTAGTCACAAAAGTTCCAACCGACCAGCAATAAACAAAAGATTTCCAGTAACGCAGGCTCCGCGACAAATGCTGAGCAAATCTGGTTTCTCATAGCTTGGAAACATACTCTCGAGTTCAATTTCTTGAATTCCAGATTGCTGTTTACATCTTTCGCCATGTATTGCTATGCTACGAGAATCGCTACCCAAACATAAGTAGTGATCTTCTGCAGGACGGAGGTGCTGCAGGAAATGCTCAAACATTCTTAAGCATTGAGCTCAGACTGTGCACCGCTGCTTGTCTGTCCTTATGCGCTTCATCGGCATGAGGCACGGATGATGCACCGCGCCCGGAGGCGCACATGGACGGACTGCTGCGACCGTTTAGTGGCCGGCTTGCTGACATTTCTGCAGGCTGTGCCACCGGAACCTACGAAGAAGGATTCGAGGAGGACGCACGTTATAGCTAGCTTTGTCAGTCGTCCTGCGCATGTGCATGGCGAGCTCTAGGACGGAGACGCGGTCACGGAAGAGTCGGGGCCCCAAGCACGCGAAAAGATGCAGAATCGACAAGTAAACATCCTAAAATGTGGGAAGCGACAGGCCGCAGTCGGAGCCGTCGGAGAAGTCGCAGCCGGAGTCGTCGGAGCCGGAGTCGTCGGAGCCGGAGTCGTCGGAGCCCACGCAGAAGTCCAAAAAGCCCTCGCAAAGAAAAAGAGAGCAAAGAGAAAGAAGCAAAGCCTCCGAAAGAGACTCCGAAAGAGACTCCGAAAGATGAGGTTGGGAGAGCTTTCTGAGCACGCTGAAGTTTAAGTTTGGCAAAGTGCATGCAGCACGCAAGGCTCCAGCGACGCAAGCCGAAGCAGGTGTTCCATGTTGCACATGCCGGCTGCAGATGCGTAGAACAGTGCGATATGACGAAATTGCACGGCATAGCAGACCTCGAGGTGCCACAGAAGGAGCCCCTCCGGCGCGTGTTAACCAAAGAAGGGCCGTGTTGCGAAGAGCACAGCTTCAGTTCATCGACACAAGTCATGACATTGGCACCCATCCTGTGAAGGCTGACAGTGAAGCAAAGAAGAAGAGACGAGTCTTGCAACAGGTGCGAAGCTTAGGGGCATGGCATCTTGGACGTTGGGGCATTCTCTGCTTCTGGTACCACTGTTCCATCATGAGTGCAATGAGCAGGACGATGATGATGATGAGACGGTAGCGAAGCGTTTGGAGGTTGCTTTGGACGGCGTATCAAAAGGCTGCTTGTTCTCTGCCCCGTAGCAGGAAAGCCGACGACGACGAGCCGCCTTGCTGGCCAAGAAACTTGTTTGCAACACCTAGATTTGTGTGTTCCCATATCCTAAATGTTGCCTGCCCCTGCAGTACTTGCCTGTGCCCAGGTACCAGGAGGGCAAGGATTAGGGTTCAGAGTGCGGTGCCAAGCTGTTGGAAGCCTCTCGGAACGGCTTAGCTGCATGGATTCAAGGCCAGGAGAGCAAGTTCCAGCGTATTTCTGAGCAGAGAGTGGCAGGGCCGAGCTGCGAAAACCGGGAAGCCAGCGAAGAGACGGAGACTTGATAGACAATAGCTTGTTTGCTCGTATCTGATGCCGGCGTCAAGCTGAGCTGTTCGGCGCAAGGCCACGAGACCATGGTATCGCCTTGCGAACAAACAGTTCAATTTTTGGTATAGGATAGCTAGATCCTTCCACCAGATTGGTGCACGCACTCGGCGCATACGCTAGACACCACAGCGCCGGAGGATAGCTTGAAACTGCACGGCCAGCACCCAGGCCCCAGACTGTGCAAGGCTTACATTCACACACACAAAAGACAATGATAGACGCAATAAATGCTGCTGTTGCCTCCGAGGCTGGGCTTGTCGTTGTGTTGGTCTGCAGAATTTCGCAGCATGGTGCTTGCAGTGTGCGCTCTTTTAGCTTGCACGGGATCGTCATCTCCAGAAGCTGCCGTGGATTGTGGTTCCGAAGACTCCCTCTGCCGCCCCGGTCCAGCAGATTCTAGCAGTGCTAAGTCTCACAGAAGAGCTGCTGACAGGCGAAGCCGACAGATGCGTCCGAGCCTGCCAGCGGCTGAACGTGCCCTGGGGCTGAGCTCTCAGTGTTTGCCGTGTTTCGACCAGGTGGTTGAGGAGATCTATGCCAAGCTCAAAGAAAGTGGTTTTGATTCTAAGCAGGCCTTATTTTTAGCCCGCAATGCCTGCAATGCTTACAAACCTTTCAGCTGGTCCCATCTGACACCTACGAAGCACTTGATTGCAGCCGCAGGTGACTACCCTGGAGTTCAATTCTTTCCTGGAGCGGAAGCTCTGGCCAGGTTTTGAGGCGGAAAAGGCAAGTCTTGCGCACTTGATAACCATCGCGCTTCTCATCAACGAGAAGGCGGACCTGGACGGGCTGTGAAGCGTCGGTGACCGGACTTTGAATGCTCGATGTCGTTGTTCGAGAAGGTCCGAGATGGAAGTGTTTCTGCATGGGACTCCGTGGCTGCCCGCAAAGAGAAGCAGCTTGGCAGAGCGTTGAGACCTCATCCTGCCCTTTGGACCTGTGGAGCGTCAGGTTTTCGGGCTACTTCGAGAGTATGCTGGAGCTGTGGAAGTCTGGGCGGTTGACACTTCGGGAAAAGCCGGAAGCCTGGCCGTTTGCAAGTGCGCATAATTATGGCTTGACTTCTTGAAGAGTCAGTTTGATTGGCTCACGGTTTGTGCAGCGAGGTCTCACGTCCTTCAGTTCCTTATCAACTGCTTCCAGAGCTTGGAGCAAGACTTCGTCCGCGAGTGTTGCCTAAGGCAGCCGGGCCGAGATGGATTGAGATGGCTGAGTAAGATTGCTCGCATTTGCAGCTGTGATGGCACCAGGCTCACAGGCCTGCAGTCTTGGTTTCACTTGAATGACCTCCACCGCGAGACACTGGACTGCAATGGGTCGTTCGACTGCTGCTGTCAGTAGCATGCTTACATGGGCATTCCATGTTTTCCGATCGCCAAGGAAGCTGCTGTCTTTGAACAAGAAGTTGCCCGCATTTTGGAAGAAAGTTCAGAAGAAGTATGTCGCCGGACTGCAGTGGACTCCCAATGCACAGTGTCAGACGGATGCTAACATAATCAGCACGGAGTAGCTGTAGTTGTGCGAGACGGTGAGTGCGAGACCCAGTTCAGGCTGATCCCAAGACGTTGGGCGCCCAAGACAAGACGCAGAGACGCACTGGCTGAGCTCCCGTGCTGCTGTTGAGGCCCCAGGCTAAGCACGAGCGCAATTTTATGTCCGAACTGCTCGATGAGTTCTTGGCTTCGCTGGAGAAGTTTGGAGAGCTTACTGACTTGGGAATAGAGGACCGTGCAGCAAAACATCGCCGTTTGCTTCAGTTCCGCCCGCAGAAGATGTGCTGGGGCACAAGCAGGCTTGTATGCGAAGTCACTTCCTGCTTTGCAGGCTTGCCCAGCAAGCACAGTATCAGAGCGGAAAATGCAACTACCTGCATCTGTATGTTCTCATGACGTTTCTGCCGAAGGTGAAGAGGTTTCAATTTGCGATGTCCAAATCAACACTCCATATTCTAAAGATTTCTTTTGTGTGCTGCGTGACTGCAGCTCTCTCACAACTCGCTCTGACCGGAAGGCATCCGATAGCAGTGATTGCACAGTATTTCAGAAAAAACACGTTTGGTGTGGCAGCGAGGTTTGAAGTGCATCCGAATGTGAGCTTGGACCATTTTGTTCAGGAGCTTTCCTACCTAGAGCGTCGCTGGACTGCACAAGCTGACTGTGTTTCATGCGCATGCTCGTAGAGTGGATGTGGCATGGTGCCTCTGTGCCTGCTTCGGCAAAGTTTCTCCCCAGGCTGCATCGAGCTGATGATCGATTTGTTGGACCAGCTGCCTACGCGGCGCTTCTTCCGACCGCTGTTGGTGGACAAGCACGTTGTGGTGCCACGCTGAGACGGGATCAGTAGTTACTGGAGGTGTGTAACTGAAGTGTGTCGGCTATGTCTCGAGCTTGCACCCACATCAACATGCATTTCAACTGATCAGCGCGTCATGGAACAACGGATAGCGCCGGTCTTTGTTAACGATCTGTCCTTGCATTGCATCATTGCCGAGCATCGCCGGGAATGGTTTGTAATGTCCTTCGACGCAACACGCGCAAGTTGTGGGCAAGTTGCGGGTGAATGTTGTTTCTTACTGGCAGGTGCGTTGCAGAGGATCCAAAGTGGCGCAGCTGCCACAAGCTCGTCTAGTTAATCAGCTGCTTGGAATTCTCAGGCGGGCATGGCATGGCTGGGTCACCCAGTCAGATTTCATCAGAAGGAACTTTTGCCGCCAGATACTATGAGAATTTCGAGATAGACGACACGACTGGGAAGCCACTCTCACGCCGTGAAGTCACAGATCTCCACTACGAGCGCTTGCAGCTCCTGCAGAGAGCGACCTGGCACGGAAGCCGTGAGAGTCACAGAGTGGCTTGTGTATGCAGCTTGAACATGTAAGGTATGCTTTCAGGAGTTTTCAGACAATCCCAGCCTGAAGCAGATCATGCTGGTGCATGTCGCGAAGCTAGACACCAGGCGTGGGTCAATTTCAGTTGCCAGAAGCAGTTCCTGGTCCCTCCACGCGCTCCGAGGGAAGCCCTGCTGGAACACTTCGAGCCTTTGCCGTTCGAAGTCCTGAAGGTACTCTGTGCCAAAGTCTGCTATCTTGATGTCGGAGTCCCAGAACTTGACGTGCATGGGCGCTGGCTACAGCCATGAAAACTTTTCGCGGGCAATGTTCGCACCACATGTCTCATCTTCGTACTAACCATTTCCTGTTCCCGACGTTTCACAGCCACAAAGCATTTGCGACACAATATCCAACTTCCATTAAGTCTGTTGTTGTTGCTGTTGTGGTTGTGGTTGTGACACACACTGAGGGTGACGGAGGTAGAACTTTCTGAGTTAAGTCGTGTGCTGGTAGTCACAGTCACAGCTTAGGTGCTTTTCACTCAGACAACGGTTTACTAGATTTGATGTCCGTCTCAGCTTTGCGGAATGTTTCACATGAGTGTCGGACAAGCACAGCGCCCGCCAAGCGCAGAGAACGCTTGTGCAGCGTTCATTGAACAACTGTAGTAGTAGTTGTTGTTGTTGTTGGTGGTGGTGTTGTTGTTGTTGTCTTATGTTGTTCTGCCTCATACCTAAATACTGCTTGCCAGAGAATATGCAGTGTTGAGTAATATCCAGGAAGGTTTGATCTTAATCGAAACCGAAACAGCCATCGGTGCAGTAGTACAAAAGAGACAGATAATCATTCACAACGTCGGTGCTCACTCGTTCGTAGGTGGTGACTACCAGTTATTCCGTTGCGACGGAGAAAGTCGCAAAAAGACACGTAAATGCACACCAAGTATGTACTAGCGAGTAAGTCATGAAATGCGAATGCCATATGCATAGCTGGAGTAGTACATACTCGAACAATATTCACATATGGGTAAATTGTTCAGAAGAGAAAATATCCATTGGCCATTGGGTTAGATATCAAGGAAATACTGTGCCGTTTTACAAGAAAAAACAATGGTGAAAACTCAGCTCTAGTGCTTTAGCCTTTATTTGTTCTCGAGAACTATTGAACAACCTTGTAACATCATGTATGTCAGGTCCATATACTAATGGAATATTGCTTGAGGTGTATGGGCACGTCACAGGTTCGAAGAGAATTGGCCGAAGGCTTACAGATTTCCGTTTTTGCTAGCATGGTAACTGTACTTACATTTCAGGAGAACTCTCGATGCTGAACATCAGGTAGGTATCAAGCGAGTTCGCAGATGAGCTTTCACAACTGTACCAGGCAATCAAAGTGAAGCACAGCCGCAATACTATGTACATAACTGCGTTTCGGTTGCCATGAACGACATACCCGTACTCAGATACCACTCGAGTCTTTCACATGCTGCATGACTCAAACAGCATACGAATATCTCATGAACATGGGTTTAATGCTCAACAAGTATGCTTGAACTAGTACTTAACAAAAGAGTATTTGGACAGTGTTACGTGCGGTTGATACGACATTCAAACCACGTATTGGTAAAGCGCTGGCTAACTATCCGTTGCATGTGACAGAGTACTGGCTACATGGGCATCTCAAGCAAGTTGTTCCAGCATTTAATTGTGCTGGAATTGAACAATGACAATATGTTAAATATCAGAAGCTGTTCAGCTTCATGGGAAAAGGAAGCATTGCTTAAGGTTCAGAACAAACTTAAAATGTGGTTATGTGAACATCCACCACTGAATGAGTATTATGCGAATGTCAACCCGAAGCTATCACCATTCGGGTTTGTTAAAACAGTACCTGGGCATGGTTGGGTATCAAACGGAGCCTGTCATGTGTTTGTGTTTTTGGGAGTGCGGAAGTGTCGAGAGGTCCCAATGTTTCCCAAGGCCATGGAAGGTCCCAATGAGACCAATAAAACTAACGTTTGAGAGTCTCCGAGCAGCGCGGGCCCGGAGGCTCCAAAACATCGGTTGAATTGGTTTTGTTGGAACCTTCCACGATTTCAGGCTCCTGGACCCCTGAAGCATCGGGACTTCTCATGGCTTTGGGGCTCTTGGGGCGCAACCGTGCTGAGCGGTCTCAATGTTTTGGGAACCTCTCATAGTTTTGCGACTCTACGTCCCAATGTTTCTTAATGTTTCGGGGGTCCAGGAGCCCAAAGCCATGGAAGGTCCCAACAAAACAAGAAGGCCAACGTCCATCCATGCATCCATCCATCCAGCCAGCCAGCCCGCGAGCAAGCGAGCGAGCCAGCGAGTTAGCCAGCCAGCCATGCATCTGCATGCAAGCAGTGGCAATCCATTGATCCGCCTTTCTCCGCTTGACGAATCATGTTCACTATCTCTTCCTCATCTTCACTCGCACAATCCTTTGAATCATCTTTTCTGCGAGTGCGAACATGACCCACATGACCGCACAACATAATCAACACAAGTTTTAGTCTGAGTTGACCGACATGTTGAACATTGGAGATTTCTAGCAAGCACCGAGCAGCGCATTGGCTTAGGCTAAGCACTGCAAAATCAAGCAAGTGAGTGAACTTTTGTGTAAGGCTTTCAGTGGATGGGATTTAAGGCATGCGGCTGCGAGAGGTCAGGGTTTTCCCGGTAAATTTGTAAGTTTGTGGGGTGTTTCTTCTGGTTGAAAGTCTTCGACTGCGGTGGCTTTAGGGTTGAGGGAGCCCACGTTTAAGGTTGCTTGTGGATTAAAGGTATGCGAGTTCCTTAGGGGTCTAGACTTTCTTGCAGCATGAAGGCTTTCAAGGTTCATGATGTTCTGGTGATTCTTCACGTGCCCTGTCCGCTGCCTCTTCGTGCAGAACGAAACCCAGAGGTGCTATGCGACACTTTTTAAACATCGGTGCTGAAGGCTCGACAGGTGGAAACGCATTGGTAGTAGTTACAAGACTTCCGGTGTCTGTGCGGCCCTCGTGAACAAAGGGCATAAGAACCTCTCGCCTCTCGCCAGTCGTTTGTGCAGAAGGCAAAGACTGATCCTTCGTCATGTCTTAATTATACAGGAAATAAGGCAGCTTGCGTATTTCTCAATAGGAACAAAGGAAGTGCTTTTTCGAATCTCAGAATTCCACGATGAAGATCGAGTATAAGATTTCAGCTTCCATCTTGGGTAGTCGCGCTCCTGTAACAGTGCTGCGCACATTTTGGGTGCGACTCGTCTTTCCGCCACAATCCTGAGCCACCTGGTACCATCTCTTCTCTCCTAATCTGAGATGTGTAACCACGCTGTTCGCGGATTCTAGCACATGTATGAGAGGCAAGTCCTGCAACGTGTTTCACCTTCGAAAGCTTCTGGCGCTGTCCTTCCTGTTCACTCCTTGGCGCGTGTCCGTCATGTCGAAGAAAAGTTTCAAGTACGTCCGTTGCCACTTCGACCTGCACCTCGCAGCAGCAGCAAGGAGCACATCAGTGGATGCTCAGTTCGGATTCCGAAAGCATGTCGCTGTGGCACAGCACTGGCTTAGGTCTCCCGGGATACCACGCTGGCAGCCATGGAGCAGAAGGTCCATGTTCCGTGCAATGAGCCTGTCAAGTCTGTGCTTTTCTGCGAGGTGCGCGATGCCATTGCAGCACAGGAGGCTCAGGAGGCCGAGAAAGATGCGGCAGCAGAGCCCAAAAAGAAGAAGCGGAAAAAGAAGGCAGCTGTGCAAAGCTCTCTTCGTCTTGGATTGAGTCTTATGCAGTTACGTTGTAGCATTGAGTTGTTGCAAGCCTAGGTGAAAACAGAGGAAGAAGAGCGGATCTGCAAGCTTCTCGTGGAAATTCTTGTCAACAGACTGGAACGCCCCGTGATGCAGCTGCGTAGTTGCAGTAGCTCATGCTGAGAGCCGACACATCTTTGAGTCTCGATGACATATTTGCGAGGCAAGATGACGTGATGAAGATGCCTTTGTACCCGACGGAGGACCTGATTTGGGATCCGAATCTTGTCCCAGAAGAACACTACTCAGGCCAGCGTCCATGCAGAGGTGAGCTACCAGAGCCTCTTGACTTGGACACAGGTGACTACACCCTGGCACTTCCCAAGCTCAACCTGCAGTTCCTCACGATACACGACGCACAGCATCACACAGGTTGAGTCTGGAAGGGTGCAATGAGAGTACGTTCATCGCCGGTCACATCATGGCTAAGGACTACCTGCTGCGAAACTTCAATTTGTTCAGATTGGAGTCCACGCATGAGATACGAGATGACCTTCAAGATCAAATTCCCAGGTGCAGTCAAGATTGCCGCGCATGCATGAAGCCAGCTTCTCTTTCTCCAAACTGCAGGATGAAAGCTTCCGCCGACCAAGACGGTGGCACGCATTTCTCCGGGTCCGGACGGATGATGGTGCCTTTGGGCGGGCTGGAAGTCATGAACGCCCCATGCCAGCACCGTACTATGACAAGCACTTATCCATTTGGCGAGCAGCTGCTGAGGTGAAAAGACCAAAAGTAGGAGAGGAGGTTCCATCGGAAGTCCGGGCAGAAGTCCGCTGGTCTTTGACGGGAGTTCTGCCGTCAGGGCCTCAAGTCCGTGCACAAGCGAGGACCTAGCTGATATCTGTTGCTTAAGGTTTCCGAAGGGTGGGGGGAGGAAACACACAGACAGCTGTCTACTAACGACAAAGCAAAGTCCACGAGGAAAGATTCAGCTCCTTGCGGGAGGGGCTCGGCCTCGCAGGCTTCCGGCATCAACTCACACTTACGACACTCACTCTCACATTCGTCTATCCACCAGGTTTCGAGGCTCTTTGAAGGTTTGCATATCGCCGTGCCAAAGGCTGTTCTCCTTCTGGCTGCACCGGCCATGCGACATTCCGACTTTCCCATCAGATTGTAGTTTAGACGCGCACTGTTGATAGTTCTAGAAGAGTTGAGGTGCCTCCCGTAGAAAGAAGGCCCGTGAAGTTTCTATGCAACTTTTTGGCTGCTTCCCACACGAGGCAGATCCGAGAAGAATGGGACACGCTCAGAGAGCACGATGTGATATTCCTGATCAGGCACCCGGTCGCAGCTTAAGGCACCGGCAGAAAGCCCTTTGAATTTGCTGCGACAGGATCAAAGCACCAGAGGAGCCTTACGATGGCAAGGTGGCCGACCTCACAGTGGCGGAGTTTCCTGAGAAGTTCGGCCTGCAACTCAGCCTCTGCGATCAGATCGTGTAAGGTCGGTCACCATGGCACGATCCGAGGTGTCGTGAGCGTGCGTGGAGCAGTCTCGGCCTCGCTGAGTGCAGGGCGAGTTGTGTTACGCTCCGGCGAGAGCCCAGGAGATCACAGAGCTGCTTGACGACGAAGGTGTGAGAGTCGACCTTCGTTCTTAAGCTGCGTCTGCAAAGCTGCCAGGCAATGTCATCAGCGATCCGAACCCTGCAGAGCGCAAGACTCCCGTTGGAGACGGACGAGTAGCACGCGTGATTTTGGACCCTGCGCAGTACCATCAGGACTCATGTTTGAGTTCGCAGGTCCTTGAATGGCTAGTTCAGACACGCGTAGGAAGCAATGACAATTCCGAGTATGATCTCGCAGTCGCAGTGCCCAAGAGACTCCCATGGCTCTTTACGAAACACATCCACCAGCGGCTCTCTCAGAGTATCTCAGAGTGGACCTTGTAGCAGAAAGGCGCTTTTGATTCCAGAGGAGAAGAAGGGACTTTAATTGAGTGCACGCAAAGGCACTGGCGGAAATGAGATGCCTTTGCTGTGCTCATGCAATTTCTAGTTTAGACACGAGGTCAGCTGCACAGGTTGGCACGCCACTGTTATTGGAACCACCTTGCCCCATCAGTGCTTCAGGTCCATTGCGATTCTGTACGCTCTATGTCATGCCTTCTTTCGTGCAACTTACCACGCTGTGCTTGCCTTCCCGGCTTTCGTGGTGACCTGGATGTGGGAGCGCATCGACCTCCTCTTGCCTACGTATTGTAAGCGCAAGCGCGGGGCCGAGCACTGAGACTCATTAGGACTACTTCAGAGATGCCATTGCTTTTCAGCGAAAGCAACCCCGCACGCTGGCTTGGTGTATGCATTGACATGTATGTGTATAGAATTGTATATATATATATATATATATATATATCATATATATATATATATATATATATACACACACATGTAGTGTGTTGCTTCGTGCTGGAAGCACCTGAATGCGCAGGACTTGGAGGCCATGGCGTCTGGGAAGACCGAGATCTACAGCAACTTGAACCTCGTCCTGCGCCGCAAGCCGAGTCGTGCCCGCAAGAAGCGGCAGTAACAGCCTGTGGACCGCGAGAAGCTGAAAGCTGACAGAACGGAGCGATTCGTGATAGAAGGGATTCCTTCGTGACATTCGTGGCTCACGTTGAGGGAGTGTCTGTTGACAGACCAAGGTTCCGAGCTTGACCCTGTCTATGCAAGTATCACATTCGTAAGTCTGCGGTCGGCCTTGGATGGCCCAAAGCGACCGCTGTGGGCAGGAATGTCCCTGGTGGGCTGCACTCAGTACTGCGCCGTCGCGGTTCAACTAGCAGTCTTCTTCTCGTGATGAGTTATCTAAGCTCTGAAGACATGTGCAGTATGGTTTCTAGTATAAGAGGAGGGGTCTTGACGGCCAGGAAAGTGACAACACGACGACGTTGCGACGACGGCACGGCGACGATGCGACAACGGTCCGGCGACGGTGTGACGATGCGACGACTGCGCGAAATGGACGCGACGGCAACGAAGACAACGACTTACTCGTAACCGCATCGCGACGACACGCCGTCAATGCGAAGTCGTTTTGACGACCCTTACTTCGGCCTTATGACGGATGGACGGCGGGCACGCGACGGACAGATGACGCTCGTGCGGCCGATGCGCGACAGACGCGCGACGGACGCGCTTCGGTCGTCGTCCGTCCATCGCGCGTCCGTCGCACTGCCGTCGCGCCTCCGCCGCGCTGCCGCCGCACATCCGTCGCGCATCCGTCGTGTGTCCGTCGTGCAGCCGCCGTCCATCCGTCATAAGACCGAAATGAGCCTCATTTCATTCTTATGACGGATGGACGGCGGGCGCGCGACGGGCAGACGACGCTCGCACGACGGATGCGCGACAGACACGCGACAACGTCGTCGTCGCTTCGTCGCAGCGTCGTCGTCGTGCCGACGTAGCGTCGTCGTCGCGTCGTTGTACTGTCGTCGTCGTGTCGCCGTCCTGTCGTCGTGCACCCGTCGTCGTGGCATCGTCCAGCCGTCGCCATGTCCGTGTTCCTCTGTCGTCAGCTGCCAAAGGCAATGGCGTCAGCTTTTTGCCTAGTGACTAGCACATACCTTTTGAACTTAGATAAGTAATTCGTGTCAAATTCCGCGGTGAGTTTTTGGCTGACTGAGAAGGTGGTGCTCGGTGCCGTGCTTCTGTGCTTGCTACAGTGCTACAGCTGCTACAATATAAGGAAGGAGAACAACTTCAAGGCCATCCTTCACACGATCAGGACGTTCATGCCATCCCATGCTATCCAAGGTTCGATGTAGTCTGCAGCAATCTGTATGATCCGTGTAGGCCTCAGCATAGCTGCAGGAGCTTGATGAACAACGAGGACACAGTTGTACCTGCAGCCAGCTTAGTAACACACAGCTTTCCAGATGCCCTTGGCAGAAGAACACCGGCCGGAGAAAAGCAGAGCAAAGGACTGGCTCCATGACCTGTTCCTCGGATACGGAGACCCCGGAGCGGCTCAGTACTGGAAGCTTCCAACCGCGCTGAATGAAATCGACTTCAGACGCTTTTCTGCCATCATGTGCCGCCTTGCGCACTTGGGATGCTCGCCGGGCAGGCGCAAAGCAGCTTGAGCATGCGATCGAAACTACTCGTACTGTTCGACAGGTATTGCAGAGGTGCAAGGCATCTTCCAATGTGAATGGTGAAAACCAAACCTGCAAAGAACACTAAGACTGGCTTGCTTGTTGTGTGAGTTGTCTTAGGAGACACCTTCCTGGACGAAGACCACATTTTGGTGCCTTGATGCTACTATGACTGTTTCCGCCGACACTTGCGCCATAAGCTGTGCCATAAGCTGTTACGCACTCCAAGCTGCAGTTTCGTGCTCGTTTCAGGAATCCTTTCCCGATGCTGAAGATATCGATGTGCCGGAGGACTTGAAGAGGCCTTTTAAGTTGAAGTTCGAAGTCAAGGGCACAGGCGGTGCCACTCTAAGCTCCAAGAGGCCACAAGAACGACCCTCGGCGACGAATGTGAGAGTGTGGCATGGTACAGCGA